GTCAGGGACGATTTAAAGAGACACACACACACACAGGCATAAAGAAACACACACATGTCGTTGTGTTCTTACCTGGAACTGTGGCACCAGCCTCCCAGGCTGCAGGTACAGCGAGTGCTCGTAGAAACCCAGCCTCCTGTGCATCATCTCCTGGTAGTGGAGCTCGAACTCGATGTTACTGCCAGGAGGAACATATACCTCCGTCTTGAAGGTCTCCATGTCCTGGGAATTAGCCCTGTAAAGCAGACATATCTCAGTCTTCATGAGGCTGTCGAGCTCTACAGAGGATTTAAATCCAGGACGCCGGTCCAGTACCTGACGATGCCCGCTGCCTTGCCTCTGGCTCTAGCCTGAGCGTACAGGTTCCTGGCTACTGTCTTCTCCTTCACCGAGCCCACGAACGTGATCCCATTCACGTTCCTGAAGAACAAGAACGAGGGAAAAGGGAGAAATGGTAGACTCTCTGTCGAGGTAGTACTTTGTAGTACTGCGTGGTACCGGGACTCACATGGTGAAGTTGGTGATGAAAGCTCGTTTGGGGATCTGGACGTTGAAGCCAATGCTCTGAGCTTTGGAGCCTGAGTTGACCACTGAGCTCCTGACGGTGGTGTGGGCGAAGCGGGACGTGATGCGGCTCTCCACCTTGTAGCTCCTGACCGTGATGTCTTCCCCACGGATGGCCTGTGGAGGAGGTAAACAGAAACAGCGATGACCTATAGGGATCTTTCCTGTTTCTCTTTTTGAATCCTTTATATCTCTGACCTGGACTTCTCTCGTCTCTGGGTTCTGGGACTTGTTTCAGTCTTGGTTTTGACCCTGTTTGGAACTGGCCTTGACTCGAATCGGATTATGGTGGTCTTGATTGCAGCCCAGGTATATTCGGCATCGGTAACGTTTACAGTTACTCATTTGGCAGACGCTTTTATCCAAAGCGACTTACAAGTGAGTGACGTCACTAAAGCTTCAGTGCAGTAGGAGACCTTGGTGTAAGAGCTTAATATCACATCTATTTAACAAGTACAAGGAGATCAGGTAAATGTTCTGGTGTCAGAGGTGTTAGGAGAGGAGGTGCTCTCGGAGGGACGCTCCTGCTCGGACAGACTTCGGTAGCTTGTTCCACAGAGGAGAACAGTCTTAAGTGTCACATACGGGCTTCAATTTGAATTTCTAATTTCAGTTTTTAGTACTACTGTATATAAAGTTGCATCCACTAGTCGGTTAAGTGATTGAAGACTGATTAATTCGATGTTCCATTTAGGGATGATCACGCAACTACATTTATTCTAGTCTCAGTCTTGAGTTGGTCTTGATCCTCTTGGACCTGGTCTTGTGACCTCCATAGAGACAAAAGCCTCTGTTCTCAAGGAGTTGAATTTAAATTATAAATATTTTTGTCATAGTTTGAGATGATAAAAACTTGATAAAGCCAAAAACTAATGCAACCAACTTCATGCGACTGTCCTACTGATTTGATTTCTAAGGTAAAGAAAGACAGAAAAGGGAAGTGGGGCAGGATTAGTGGCAACCAAAGTCAATAACCCGTCAGTCATGGGAATCTCTTCAAACAGCAGTGTATTGATTCGTAGATAAAGTTAAACTCTGTCACAGTGGAGAGGGCTCCAACAACAAGCCCAGAGTCATACTTCAAAGTCTTCCTCCTCCTCGCTGGTCAATATCGCTCTCTGAAACACACAAACACACAGAGAGAGAAGTCGTCAGTTTCACACTTTCTGAATCTGCGCTCTCGGCCGATTGTAAATCACAAATTGTCGGTAGTAATTATAATTGGAGGTGATGCAGAATCACAATCGGGATCAGAGGCGGTTTGTTTGGTGATGCCTTGTTTATTTTTGTGCAATCAGTAAGATGCATTCCACGGATGTGTGTTGCAGCTGTTGCGACATCAGTGAGAAAAAAGCAAACAGAGGGTTTTTTTGCTCTGTCTTGTAAAATTAGACATTAAAGAAAAAGAAAAGATCTCACCTTGTGTCTCTCCCGATGATCCCGTAGATCCGACTGGTGGAAGAAAGAAAAGACTTAACTCTTAAAGTGAATGACACAATTCAAGAAAAAAAGGTGCCTGTATTTTTCTCAGAAAACAATGACAAAAAGTGAGTCTTAAGTGAGGTCAAAGGTCAAACCAGAGCTTTCAGGAAAATTACATATACACAAGAAGGAAGTTTTTTTTGTTTTTGTTTTAATGCTGAAAATGAGATTTAACCATCAAGCTGATTTAACATGGTTAGATTAATAAGACATACTGTACATTTTGTAATTTTGTATTTCATGTCGTTTACATCACATTTAAACCGACTTTAGAGATTTAAACATTTGTCCCTGCTATGCAAATTTCTTAAGATTAATTTTAAAGGTAAAAAAAAGTATTTTCATTTCATTTAAAAAATAATACACAAGAAGTCAAGTTTTTTTACTCATTAGATTTAACAATCACACTTATTTAGAATGATAAATTGACTAAGACTTTAAGATTTTGCACAAACTTCATAGATCAAAAAATATTGACTAAATGATGAAACATCAGACATACAAAGGTGAATTTGTCGGTGAGTGTTAAAGGTCAAATTGTGAAGAAAACATTTAGATTTAAATTCAATAAGAAAATGAATTCAGAAAGAAAATGATGAAAATCAGATTTAAACATCAAACATCTAAACTGGAGAGGAGTCAGGTAAAAGACGGAATAAATAAGATTTTTTAAAAAGTAGCACATGATGAAAAATTAGTTGTCAGTCATATAAAGGTGAGTGAGTTTTAAGAGCAAGCATTTAGATAAAAACTAGTAAATACATAAAAATAAATAATATATAATCTCTTGCAATACTGGTGAAATAAGAAAATATTTTTTTCCTCTATGAATTTATTTTTGACAAAATTTGACTTCCATCATGAAATTGTATTTTTTTTTAAACTAAATAAAGTCATCGCTTCTTGTCAGTGATTAAAATAATTAAAATAAAGCCAAGTACTGCTGACACAAATCTATTCATATACATCAGAATATAACTGTATATTTGACATTTCTTTCACTTCACGAAACAAAACCAATTTGATTTCAGATCAGTATCAGCCTGTGTCGATGGTTAAGCTCTTTTCTGTAAATAAAAAGTGGCACAAACAGAGTCTGTATGAGATTTCATACATCCCCCGGTCCCTGTTAACACCCTCCGACTCACTGTCTCTTCCTCCCATTCTCCATCTATCACAAACTCAAAGCAGCGGCCCTGGTGGAGGAGCAGGAGCCCCAGTAGCAGCAGCAGCAGACGCCTCATCTTTTTTTCCAGGCCTGTGGGCTCAAACACACATATCCTCACACACACACACACATACAAAACAAAACACAGCTCTGGGAGACGGACGGTCCTTCTGCAGGGAACCTCGCGGAAACACAGCTGAGCTGAAAACTGAAGGTTAAAATCCACTGAACTGATCAACCCCCCCTCCTCCCCCCAAGGCCCCCAGTCAATATTTGTTGTGTTTCATGTAACCCAGACAGGAGAAGGAAACTTTGAAACTTGGCCTGCAGTGTGGGCAGGGTAAATAGGACACATTTGACCTATTCATAGATTAAACAGAGGTTTCACATCCCACACATTGTTTAGAGATCCCGTGCTCTGATATTAAAAGTCACGATTTGACCTTAATGGTGCATTTTAATATAAATATCATCCTTATGTGTTTCTGATACACAATTGGCAGTTTTTAAAAAAGTCTGTGTGAAATGGAGGTACAAAGATGAACATTTTCATGACACACATCCGCATGAGCAACATGTAATTCTGCAGGACGGCCACAAGATGGCGCCAAAGTAAACCTAATTGCTGAAGCTTTCACCTCTCACCTCTGCATAACAGCACATTTTTTAATTTATTTTACTGTGAGATGTTTAGTTTTTAGGCAAAATAGTTTTGAAATTATGGGATTTTTGGAGTGTAACATAATATAATGTGTAAATGCAAAGTGTGAATAAAGGAAAAACAAAGGTTATAACTCCCCCACACTGACTGAATTTGTACTAAAGTGTTTAGTGCCATTTTTTTTTTCTACTTCCAATTAAATTAAATACACAATTCACAAGTTGTTAAAACATATTCCCCTTTTGTTTAGAGTATGTGGGTTAAGATAACAGTCGTAAATTTGTATTACTGATTACGAAACAGGTCAGATTAGAGGCAGCTGATGGAAGCTCATTATGCTTTATGGCAGTGTCATGCTGCCTTCAAGGGCTTCTTGTAAACTCCAGTCATCAACCATCAAACCCTCCTGTTACCTTTACACATGTAATGACATAAAAGAAACTTTAATGCCTTTTTCAAATTAGTCTTCAAGCTTAGACTTCATCATGATTATGTATTTTAATGAAAGGGTTAGTTAGTTTTAGTTAAAGGGTAAATGAAACATGTAGTAATCTACATGAAACGCACCAATACGCAGCATGTTTTCCATCTGTCATGACTTTTGGGTTCATGCTAGATTTCTGCCCCCTGGTGGAAATGCATGTGGGAGATTTTCCTTTCAGATTATATTATAATCTATTATAGATTATTATATTTCAGAATATAAAACGCCACCAGCTTCCTTCACTCGTCGGAATCTTTTTAAGGGAAAATTATAAGAGTTTGACTGAATTTTCACTCATCATGTCGAACGTGAAGCACTTGAATGCATCAAAGTGGAGACAAATTCCTCTCCTCACTCTGCTCCTTCACACCCACATAACAATGTGGGGACCTCCTCCTTTTTTTTTTTCTGGGTCTTTACTTCTAATTCCCCCAAAAATTCCGACGCTCCGTAAAGGCGGCAGCACAAATTGCCACTTATCCAAGAGTGGGACAGCGCATCTCTCTCCTCCGGTGGGTGGGCGTGTTTTGTCTCCTTCACACCGTGTCACTCCCCTGTCCCGCTCCGTATCTGTGACCCGGACTGACGGAGACTCGGAAATAATGTCCCATTTATGTTTCTGACTTTTCACTGAGCGGGACTGCTGGAGAAAGATGCTGCTGCTGCTGCTGCTGCTGCTGACCTTACTGAACAGTGCCAGCCCGAGTGTAGCACTGGGAGAACTGGAGGGCTCCCAGTTTGAAGATGATATTGATTCCGACTTGGCAGAATTTGATTTGGACATTGTAAGATATTTAAAAGTGAAGTGAAGCACGTTCTGGCGTTTGGATTTCCTCTCGTGACCTGTTTTTCCTTGTACCCACAGGCACCACGCAGGGTCCCCCGACAGGTGAAAACTCTGTTAACCAAGGTAAAGTCAGATTCACTGCAGAGATGTGACGCTATTCTACTTTTGTTCCTTTAATTTAAAGATTAAAAGTTTGAATCCAAAGGTTTTCTTGTGCTTTTAAAATAAAATTTCAATGGAAAACAAAGGTAAAATCGAAATTTTAAGAGGTTTATTTAAAAATTAGGATAAAAAGAAATGTCCTGTCTTATCTTGGTGTCTTGGGTTTGATAATTTGGCAAAAAAGTATAAATATTAAGAGTTCAGGAGTTTGCAGGTTTGGAGAAACCGACCTTCCTGGCATTAAGAAATCGTTTGATCAAACACAGATTTCTATTGTTAACAGTGGTCCAGAATGCATGACCTAGTTTGAATTATCTAGAAGTGAATTTTGTCATCCTAAACTTGTGCGCCATGGGCGTGACGCGCGGAGATCAGCCAAGCGCGCAGATGTGCCAGAGGAGCTGTAATGCGCTGGGTCATGGCTCAGGGGAACAGAATTCCTCTGACTGTTTGGTAATTGCAGCTAAAAGGAAGTCCAGCTTTCCTTGGATGAGTTATCAAAAATAATGTCAACATGCGCAACGGGGATGCGTAAAATCCGTCGTGCCAGATTCAGCGTCAGTGGCGCAGTTCCAGGGTATATTTATAGGCGTCGTTGGTGGTTGCGTAATATTCATGGTGTTTTAAACGTTTCCTCTGCAGGAGACCAAGCCGCACATCCAGGAACTCTCCATCAAGACCACCATCATCTCCCGCTATGCCTTCACCGCGGTGTACTGCGCCATGCTCAACCGGCACTCCGCCGCCACCGAGGGCGTCTTCCAGTTCCAGATCCCCGCGGACGCTTACGTCTCCAACTTCACCATGTAAGAGTCGCACAGTGTCACGTGAGCAGCAGGTGGTGAGGCTCAAATCAAAATAAGATCCCCCCCATTGCATATTATGGCCTTAGCGTAGATCAATTGCAAGCAGGTTCACAAATATGAAGGACTTTCAGAACCCTGAGGAGGTGAAAGCAAAAAGTATTTCAGAGGAAAAAGGGGCAAAAATTTGTGGAAAAAGTCTAAATATTTTCTTTAACCGTCATGTGACCCCTCAGGTCTCAGGGCTCCTGTTGGTCTCAACGTTGTGAATATCTTTATCAGTGAGGTTTTCAACACTTACAGCCACGTTTGAGTTCTGTTCTCTGTTCTGAGGTTTATCATTAAGATGGAAAACAGAGATCAAGTGATAAATGTCAGAAATCTTTTTTGGAAGCGATGTAACAGAAAAAAAGTTTTGCACCTTTTATTTTTTAGAAGTAAAACACCAAAGAGTCACATGGTCCCCGCCCGTCTGCATGTCGCTCAGTCTGAGCAGATTTGGACGTGTTGGAAAGAAGGTGTTTTATGAAACAAACCTACAACGGGAGGATTTTATGATGTTTCCGTTGCTATGGAGATGTTAGCAAGGAGACAAGAAAGGGTGACTACTTTTATTCGGCTGTTAACACACACACACACACACACACACACACACACACACACACACACACACAGGAGCCGTAGTTCATTCAGGAGCAGGACTGGTGCCCATAAATAATCAGCAACAGGATTTTGCCGACAAATTCAGTCTTTTGTCGGAGAGAACCCGGTTGCCCCGTGACAATAGGTGGTCCTGAATATGAGCGCCGCTCTCTAATCCCCAACCTTTGACCCCGTGAACCAGGATCATCGGAGGGCGTGTCTACCAGAGCGAGGTCAGGCCGAAGGAGAAGAGGGTCAAACAGGAGAACGGCAAACCCAAAAACAAAGAGTCAGGTGACGCAAGGTAAGAGAAACCTGTGTGTGTGTGTGTGTGTGTGGGTGTGTGTGTGTGTGTGTGGGTGTGGACACACCTATGGTCTGGCGTCTCCTAATTACACAGCAGCACTCGCTCCCTCTAATGTTCCCATTTTGCAAACACACATTGATAATATCCCAACTAAGACGTCTTTTACCACAACCAAGGCGGCAACAGAGAGAGAGAGTGTGTGTGTGTGTGTGTGTGTGTGTGTGTGTGTGTGTGTGTGTGTGTGTGTGTGTGTGTGTGTGTGTGTGTGTGTGTGTGTGTGTGTGTGTGNTGTGTGTGTGTGTGTGTGTGTGAGCAGACAGGCTGGAGGGGATCATGGCTTCAGAGACAAACAGTCACATAAATGTGTGAGCTAAGAAGTGATCTATGGAAGGAGTGACATCACGTTTCCAGCTGTCATGAGAAAAGTGACATTTTATTAAATGAGATTTTGTGTAAAGGGCAGGAAGGAGGAGGAAGGAGGAGGAAGGAGGAGGAAGTGGAAGATGTGAGATTAAGACAGAAGCAGAGTTCTTCCATATTCATGATATCACCACTTGGACCGTTCGCCTCACAGCTCCACCTCTTCTAATATTTTCTCTTCTTTCTCACACGTCGTGTTTTCTCTGTTTACAGCTGCTGCTCTTTCAGTTTAAGTTTTATTCAACTTTTACATTGAAGCCAAACTTGTAGCCAAGAGATTTTAAAATAGGGCCTGTCATGAAAGCAGCATCAACAATGCACGTGTACAGTAAAAGCTAAGCATAAAATACATACAGTAAAGAGTTAAGTCAAAATCTTCATTAAGAAATCAAAGAATGAGGATAACTACATAGCTAACGTTAGCATTAGCAGCGGTTTACTTCTACCAGTCTAGAAGAAACTCACTAAGATCTGTCTCCAGTGGTGGAAATCAACCCTCTTGTTTTGCCTCTATTTCTATCACTTCTTTTCTTCTAATGAAGTTAGCATGCTAACTAGCTAGCCCCGGCCCGGTCAGACTGTCTCGTCACTTTCCGATACCGAGTCACTGTAGCGCCCAGTCTGCCCTGAAGAAGTAGCTGCTCAGAGGACGCATTATTACCTCTGGTCTTGCAAACACAACAATGGCTGAAGCCACTGAAGTAAACAGCTGTTAATGCTAACGTTAGCTATGTAGCAAGAGCAGGACTTCACGCTGTACAGACAGAATGATGTCACTCTTTTTATCTAACACTCAGAAAGGAGGAAAATTAAGGTCGAACTATTCCTTTAAACTGTCAGTGACATGTTTCCTCCTCTCTCCAGTCCTGAGCCGCAGGTGGAGGTGTTCAGGACGGCGGTTAATATACCGGGTAGGAACCGGGCGGTCTTCCTGCTCACCTACGAGGAGCTCCTGCAGCGGCGTCTGGGGCGCTACGAGCACGTCACCAGCCTGCGGCCGCTGCAGCTGGTCAGCCGCCTCAGCCTGGACGTCACCATCGTCGACCACTCCCTGATCACGGACCTGGAGGTGCTGCCGCTCCGCAACGGCAGGAGCACCGGAGCCACAAATGTGCCCAGTGCACCAAAGACACCAGGTTTACAGATCACATCTTAACATTTTATCAGTGAATTACATTATAAATTTCATATTTTTGAAGCTTTACCTTCTTATTTTGCTCTATTTTTTTTTATCCATGTTCTTTTCACTCTTACATACTTAAATATCATAAACGATTCTTTATAAATATAGAATTTAAATAGAAATACAGAATATAAATCTAATAAATTCCCTTATTTTCATGTTAAAACTCATAAAAAGGACACGGATCTCATCTTTCAGACTGGCACCAGTTTGTATCCGCTCCTGGGTCACGGTCACTTTACTCATCTCTCAGGGTTTTTGTTCTCGATCCAGTTAAAACACAAACACACTTCCTCTCTTTGTGTTCCAGCGAAGCCCGAGCCTCCCGTCACCACGGTGACCAAAAACGAGAAGAACGTCTGCAAGATCACCTTCAGCCCCAACATCGTCCAGCAGGCCAAGATCACAACCAGCGGCATCCTGGGAGATTTCGTGATCCGCTACGACGTCCAGAGAGACATGGGGATAGGAGACATCCAGGTGAGAGAGAGAGAGAGTCACGTCGTCAACAACAGTCCTGTAATAAACTGCAGCACAAAAATAAACACAGACGCTTTTGATAAAGAAAACCAGACAACCAGAAAAAGCATAAAAAATAGTTTTCATATTTTGCATGCGTTCGCACAGATATCGAGCTACACACACACACACACACACACACACACTCATCTACCCACCTGTTACTCATTCATTTTCTCTGGCTTCCCGCCACCAGCTTCACTCTCCCTCCGCTGCCAAACTCTTCTGTCCGTCTTCAGAGCAGAGCTTCATCTTCAATCACAATCGCACCTCTCTCTCTCTCTCTCTCTCTNTTCCCATCCAGCTACACACACACACACACACACACACACACACACACACCCCCACACACACACACACACACTCATCTACCCACCTGTTACTCATTCATTTTCTCTGGCTTCCCGCCACCAGCTTCACTCTCCCTCCGCTGCCAAACTCTTCTGTCCGTCTTCAGAGCAGAGCTTCATCTTCAATCACAATCGCACCTCTCTCTCTCTCTCTCTCTCTCTCTCTCTCTCTCTCTCTCTCCCCCTCCCAGGTTTTAAACGGCCATTTTGTCCACTACTTCGCTCCCAAAGACCTGCCCGTCGTCCCCAAGAACGTGGTGTTTGTGATCGACACCAGCGCCTCCATGCTGGGGACTAAGATCAGACAGGTAAAGCAGCACGCTCAGAAAACTGCTGCCAGATTAAAGCTACAGCAAACACACATCTATCTATCTATCTATCTATCAATCTATCAATCTATCTATCTATCTATCCATCCATCCATCAATCATGGTGCATTCAATTGCTTATGGGAAACTCTATTTCAAAATAAAATGTGCTTTTAGCCTCATTATCACGCGGCAATCACACGATTCAAGCAACTGAATGTCCACTAGCTGTTTCAGGACCTTTTGACTGACATGTCATGGTCTTCATCAGTAGATGGGGCTCTGAGCAAACGCCACCTGTTAATGAAGACTGTGAGATACAGTCGAAAGCTCTGGAAAAAGCTAGTAAGTAGACCTTGAGTTCAGAATTTTATTGTTTTTTTCCAAATTTCATCATGATGGATTAAATATCTTTAGCAGATGTCTGTTTGAAAAGATGGATATAAAGTTTACAGTATTTCTCGTAAATGGAAAAATATTGGCTTGAATTTGACACTTTCTGACTCCACAATTAAATGTGAGTCTTAATTAGAGTAAATTGGACGCTCACTCTGCAGGGATAATTTGGGTTTGGTCTTTTTTATTTTCCTGGAGTTTGTCTTGGGAGATCGGATGAACTTTCAGAGACGGTCTCGCTTCCCGAACAAAGACATTTACAGTGTTCTCAAATCGCTGTATTGGGTCCGAAACTGGACTCCCCCACCTCCTCACTCCCACACTGGAATATCATTATCAGACCTTTTCCTCCATCTGCAATCGCACGGTTATCCCCCCCCACACACACACACACACCTCCTCCCCCCTCCCTCCCTCTGCCAGACTCAGAGCTGATCCCTGCAGCTGCCATGAGCCGAGATCACAGAACCAGAGGAGACGAGAGAGAAACTGAAAAACAGATTTTCAGTTGAGGAGTAAAAGTGGAAACACACGCAGCACAAGGCCGCGCTGTGAGGGAGGAAGGTCAGTGTCTATGGGGTAATGGAACTTTGTAGACAACAGCACCCTCGACCCCCTTGATCCCCCCCCCCTTGCTACCCATCGGCAGCCCCCAATGAACTGCAGGAACAGAACAAGTGAGTTTTGATGTGGCTTCACAATAGAGGGCTTCAGAGCAGGTCACAGTGTGGCTCTGACCCCTGCTGTATACAGCCCATACACCAAATTATATATCACACCCACGCTTGGGGGGCTGCAGAGCTGCAGAGCTGCAGAGCTGCAGACGCTGCGACTCTGAGTCTTTGTACGAATTACACATTTTTTAAAACCTGAAAACTTTAACTTTTTTTTTTTTTTTTTTTTTTACAATCTAGTGTCAAGTTTCACGGCGGGATTATTCAGCAAGTCGCAAATATCCAGAAAATGTTTCACGTTTGTTTGGATCGACGCACAGCCACACACAGTCTCAGTGTTTTGTAAAGAATTACATATGGAAGTCATTCAGAACCAACTGAAAACACTGACAGATGCATGACCAAAGTCTTTTTAAATGACAGATAAAAAAAAATAAAATAAACAAAACTAAGTGTATGATTGTTTCTGACGCTAGTTTCCAACATTACTAACACCACCCTCCACAGGTGGAGGTGGAGCGGCGGTGAGAGTTTGACTGATGGTTTGTTTCCAACCACTGCAGCTCTCTGCGGTTATACAATAACGCATGGCTTCACTGCAGAGAGCAGGACCGGGCTGTGTACAAAGATCTGTAGTGTATACAAAATATAACACACACTATACGTCGACACGAGATATAAAACAGATGTGACTCAAAGACTGTGTATGTTACAAACCCCTGTCGATACTTAGAGACCGACAGAACTTTATAACTCGGATGGAGGAACATGGATTAAATTATCCAGCAAAGAGACTTTTTGATTAGATTTAACTGTGTCGTCACAAAGGAAACGGCATCTTGAGTTTGATTATTTAACTCGATATGAACAAAGAGTCAGATAAATTAGACGACGTCGTACTTTGTGGGTTAAAATGTATTATCTAACTTTAGAGGTTAGGAGTTAAAATTCTTGTTGTTTTTTATTTACAGTTTAAAGCTAATTCTCAGAACAAAGTTACTTAACTGGAAGTAAAAGTTTTTTAAAAGTTTCAAGGTGCTGTTGTGGACGCTCCCACACAGCGGCTGAAGGCTGTTTCATTTGAATATGTTTTTATTCTATATTTTATATTTTTATTTTATATAAACCTCCTGATCAATACGCTGAAGGCTTTTTTCAAAATGACAATGCCTGAAGAGCGTCCTTGAGATTCTTCGTTAAACCTCTTGAATGAGGCGACAAAACAGAAGCTCAATTTCATATTTAAACATGTTTTATACTGTTTTGACATCAACTCTTCCTCTTCCTCCCTCAGACTAAAGACGCTCTGTTCACCATCCTGAGGGATCTGCGTCCCGACGATCACTTCAACTTCATCAGCTTCTCCAACAAGATCAAAGTGTGGCAGCCCGACCGCCTGGTTCCCGTCACACCTCTCAACGTCAGAGACGCCAAGAAGTTTATATTCACGCTGATGCCCACGGGAGGTGAGACTTCATTGTCCTCGTGGTTCGTCCTCTTCGTCTGCAACTTGTAGTCGCATAAAATGTTTCATTTAAGGTTGACTGAAGACTTTAAATGGACCGTGAGAGATGGATTTTCTGGTATGAACATGGTTAACTGTGAAGATCTGCACTGAATACGGGTTGAAAGTGGAAAAACATCTTGTTTAATGAGCTTTGGTTTCTTCATTTTCCCTTCAGGGCAATAAAAACGTATTTCCATGTCCTTGACATTTTCATATGAGTATTAATCTCCAATGGCGTCCCTCCGCTCCAGGCACGAACATCGACGACGCCATCCAGACCGGCTCCACTCTTCTTCGACGTTACCTCTCGGGCCCCGACGCCAGCCCGAACAGCGTGTCCCTCATTATCTTCTTGACGGACGGGCGACCGACCGTCGGGGAGATCCAGTCCACGGCGATCCTGGGGAACACCCGCTCGGCCGTGGAGGAGAAGTTCTGCATCTTCACCATCGGGATCGGAAACGATGTGGATTATCGGCTGCTGGAGCGCATGGCCCTGGAGAACTGCGGGATGATGAGACGCATCCACGAGGAGGCCGACGCCAGCGCCATGCTCAAAGGGTAAGAGCGCGTTTATGTTCAGTCTGAACCTTTTTGTTTTTTCACAGCCCTACAAATACTCAGTATGTGTTTTATGTATCTCGCAAGATTTTCCAAACCTTTACATTTTTTCAGAAAATGAGCAATCCCATTTTCCTAGATGTCAATATGGTTGCCATCTTGGATTTTTAAAAATGACCAAAATGGGGATTGTTCATTATCTCAGCTCCTAAATGACCTACATTCAAAACTTCCTCTGGCTAAATCCCATAGAGCTAATTAAAACATGACAAATGAAGACAGCTTCTTTTATTAGCTGATTTAAATGTTGCCTAACGCTGGAGCAATAGTGATGTAGACTAAGACTTGTTTAAGACCAAACCCCTGGTCTTAGATAGTGTGAATTTGTCTAAAACAGACCTGAAACTGGCTTTACGATGTGGTCTGAAAGTCGTCTAAAAATTGGCATAAAACTAGTCTGGTCTAAAACCGCCCTGACGAGGTCTAAGACTGGCTTTACAGTGTGGACTGAAAATGGTTTAAAATTGGCAAGACACTGGCCTGATGCTAGATCTACCTTTTCAGTTACACATCAGCTTTTTCTGACGAGAAAATAATATTTTTTTACTCCTTATTTCTGGATTTTTACTGGTTTAAAACTGGCCTGAAACCAGAAGTCCCTTCTCTCACTGTGGGCTGTCTAAAACGCCCCATTTTGAGGTATTTATTTCTTTAAAAAAAATACAAGATTTGGCCACAAATTTCATGCAAGATCCTCATTTTCCTTTTTTGTCTCCATCTCTGGTTTACGCTGTTCTATCTCTTTAATGCACTTCCCAGGAATCAGTTGTTAATCAAACAGGATTATCCCACAAAACACGTCCTAGACACGAGGCATTTAGCGTAAGAAATTAATAAAGAAATTCTCAACACCTATTTTATACGACGACGTAACTGAATATTACTTAAAATAAGCAATTAAGGTCCAATTCTTCCCCTCTCATAAAAGTCTAATCCACCTCTTATTAAGCAATTAGCTCTCCTAATCCCTCCCTTCTCCCCCTCCGACACGCACCTCCATCTCTCATCGAGCTGCGAAGGAACGGAGACCGCAAATGTGACGGTGCTGACAACAGACGTCTTTAATCAACTTCAACATGTGACAGCCACAGACCGCAACAGCCACCCTCTTTCTCTCTCAGACCCCCCGCCCTATCTTTTACACACAACCCTCTTCCCTCTCTCTCTCTCTCTCCCTTCCGCACTCGGACACACAAAGTGTTTGTTCAGTTGAGCAGGAATGTGTGCGTGTTGTGAAACCGGCGTCTGGGTATGTACGCGGGGTTAACAGATAGACTCCGCAGATAATAGCCTTCGTCCTGCTTGAACAAACACGCTGGCTAAGAGGTGAGGAAGTTTACCGCTGCGTGACAACAAGGATGGGACACAGGACTTATGCACACACACACACACACACACACACATTTCTGCTTCATACACACTCCTTAATGAATGTGTGCACAGACTCTGAAGTGGGGTGGCAGAGGCTTAAAGGGGTTAGACAAGCAGGTTTATGCCCGGAAGGTGGCATGTTTGGATTACCAAGACGTTTGATGAAATCTGGAATAACAACCCATGTTTCGTTTCCCTCCCTCAAGAACTACCACTGATGTGCCCTTGAGCAAAGGTACAAAACCAATAAGTGCCCAGCTGGATGGCTAGAAGAGCAGGATACTGTGCAGATCACGTTGTTTGCTGATAAAGCTGAAATGTGTTGGACTGTCCAGAACCTCAACCAGAACCTCAATCTAGCCTTAACCAAGAGGTTTTAGTTGCCTGATGACTCTGCGTTTGTTTCCAGAACTCTCTAAGGGGAAATCAGTCTGAACACACCCTTAGAGAATTACGAGATACCTGATTGTTGCCCTGCTGAAGCCGTTCAACGGTTTTTATCGTCTCTGCAACAATCTACTGCAATCCTGCATTTCTTCTCGTCTCTTTCCAGGTTCTATGACGAGATAGGAACTCCTCTGCTGTCCGACATAAGGATCAACTACACAGAGGACTCCGTCAAGTACGTCACTCAGCATATGTTCACCAACTACTTCAACGGTTCTGAGATCGTAATCGCTGGGAAGCTCACCAACCAAAGTGCAGAATCCCTTCACGTCCAGGTGACCGCCAGCAACAACGACAAGAGCATCATCCTGGAGACGGACGTGCCCCTGCGGCACCGACAAATGGAGACCGCGAACCACGTGAAAGCAGCTACAACCGCAATGGCGTCCGGTGCTAGGACTCCGGGGTCAGGGGGTGCACAGGGACTTGTGGACGTTCTGGGTTCAGTGGCAGAGGATTTTGTGGAACGTGTGTGGGGTTTCCTGAGCGTCAAGGAGGGGCTGCGGTCGCGGCTGCGTAGCCAAACCAGCAAGGAGAGGGAGGGCCACACTAATCAGGCCACTAACCTCTCTCTGACCTACCACTTCCTCACTCCCCTCACCAACCTGGTGGTGGAGAAGCCCGAGGTCCTGGCTGACGGCACCATGGCTCCAGCGCCCACCATCAACCCAGCAGCAGGTGAGGCCGTCTCAACTGCCAATGAGCTGCCAGGCGACACAGAGGAGGGAAAGCCACAGAAATCCAACAGGAAGCCAGGAAGCCAGACTTCATCTCAGCGCAACATAGTTGGTGAGGTTGTGTCTCCTAGATGTGGTTGTAGAGAGTGTGTGAAAAGTCTGCTACAAAAGGCAAACACAGGGATAAAAACTGATCTGTCTCTTGAGGGATTGAAACCTACAACTTCTCTAAAAGAACACTCCACCAGAATGGATTTTTAGTATCAAATTGATTCTGAAAATGTGGTCCTTTCTTTTTTGTTGTTGCGGTGGACGACAGCTCTAGTTAGCTTGGAGCAAAATATCCATTGAGACTTCAAAAACACCTCCATAATCCACTTCAACACAATCCATAAAGCTAATTTTCATATTTTTAGCAAAATAAACTGCTTCTGTTTGTTGCTAACATGGTCAGCTTTGTTGCTAACGACCAACTAGCGAAAAACAGGCTGTTTATTAAGCTAGTTTGAAGAAATTTGCTAACATATGGCTATAAACAGCTTCTATCTTTTGCTAGCACAGTTAGCTGTTTACATTTGTCATTCCTAGGAGTGTAAGTATAACTAGCAACAAACAAAAACTGTGTATGGCCATACCCTGGAGAAAATATGGCTAAATACACAGCTATCTTTTGTCGCTAGCATGGTTAGCTGTTTACAGCTATGTATTTAGCTACGTTTTTACCAAACTGTGATAAAAAATATGAGTATTTGCATGATACTTAGCACATGCACAGATAAAAAGGAGGTGGTTTATGCTGCAGAGAAGTTTCCATGATATTATCTTTTCCCAACATTTGACTGGATCACCTTTGTAAGCCACTGTAACTGTTGTGACTCCAAGCTAACTACAGCTAACGACACCTCTGCAAAGGAGCAAACCACAAACTCTGTAGAGCCGCATGTCAAGGCTGCAAGCAGATTGATTGAACCATTGAACTGTTCCCTCTCCTCAGACACCCTGTATTGCACTAACAACAAACCCAACAACAGTTTATGTTACTCATATGGAAATTTTTAAAGAGGAAGCACTGAACAATTGCAGCCCTTTGTCTCATTTGCAGAAGATAAATATTCTCTTCCTCGTAGGTAAAGTAGAGAGGAGACCGGCCAAGAAATCCATCACCATCTCCAAAACATCAGGTGACTCCACATTCTCTCTCTATCATGTAAACAGTTATACGCATTTCCCTGCCTGTTTCATCCGATAGCATCCGAACCCTATGTACTGTAAAGATATATGCAGCGGTTACACAGCCCCTCAGTAACACTTGAAAGAGAGGAGAGGGGGAATGTACAGTAGATTCTCTCTCGACACCCTGTGTGTGGGCGGCCTGTAATTTGGATGTTCGTCAGACAGTCGGCAGCGATCACACAGACAGCGAGGGGTTCAGGGACGCCTCTGAACATGACCTGGAAAGAGGGAAGAAAAAAAAACATGCAGGGTCTAATTGAAATGCCAACACAGGCCCTACGTGGCACTTTAAACATGCATGTGCGTGTTCACACACACACACACACACACACACACGCACTGTGGGTGAACCGGACAGAGTAAAGAGTTCAGAAGTGGATGTTTGTGCATGTGTTACAGTTAAGAGAGGGATCCCATCAGAGGCAGTTAGCGAGGGCTAATGACCCTGTCATTACTGTCGCTCTATCATCTCCTCTCATCTCATCGCTCCTCTGTTCATCTGAGCTGGTTCTCACAGGCCCGAGGAGAATCCGGCTAAAGATGTGAACTAAGAACATAAGAACATAGAACATAAAGAACATAAACTGAGCTCAAGAACTGACAACAAGGCCTTTATTTATATCCAGGAATATCTTTCCATACCATCAAATCAAACTCTAACTGTCTCTGTTTCTCATTAGTTTACACTGTGTAATGAATTCTCTGCCTGTTTCAATCAGAAATCTGTCAAACTAAGTAAATGTGATTCTCTCAAATTGGGACATTTCACTTTAAGTCGTCAGCTGTGTTTTTGAAAACAGCCGTCTCTTATCCCCTTTGACAACTTCAGCCGACGGTGACCCTCACTTTGTGGTGGAGTTCCCCCTCAGCAAACTGACCGTGTGCTTTAACATCAACGGTGAGCCTGGACACATCCTTCGCCTGGTATCCGACCACAAGCACTCCGGTAAGACTCATGTTGCCGGGGCGACCTGACAGCCGAGGGGTTATGGTGCAAACCGTGCGGGCTGCATTTCCTGTCTCTCTACCCTGTCCTGTCAAATAAAGACATAAGATGGCCAAAAGAAAAGACTCATAATTCTTTTAAACATCATCAAAAGGCACTAAAAGTCTTATCTCACTTTTCTGTTCTCCAGGTGTGACAGTGAACGGCAAGCTAATCGGCGCCCCGCCTCCGCCGGGCAGCCACAAGCAGCAGCGTACCTACTTCAGCACCATCACCGTCGTGGTGGATCACCCCAAGCGCGCCTACATCGAGGTGACCCCGAAGAAAGTCATCCTGGACGGCCGAGACCGCATCGTCCTGCCCTGCCACTCCACCGCCGCGGTGGACAGCGGCGCGCTGTCGGTGTCCATTGTGGGGAGGTCCAACGTGACGGTGACGGTCGGCGGGAACATCAGCTTTGTGATCCTGCTGCATCAGTACAAGAACCCGGCTCCCTACCAGAGAGACCACCTGGGGTTCTACATCGGCAACAGCAAGGGGTTGTCCCACAACTGCCACGGTCTGCTGGGTGAGCGTCAGCTGGGGTTTGAGCTTTAATCATGTGATGGTTGAGGAAGGAACAATATGCAGTACATCACAACAGTGTTTATCCCAAGAGTGGCTCCACATCCAGTTCCAGCTAAGTGATAGAAATATGTTCAGAAACAAAAACAAAGAGGTTATGAATTGTATTAAACTGCGGCAGGTTTTTATTTGTTCAATTTGATTTATGGGTTGTATTCGTATTTGTTTGAGAAAATGAGAAGGCCAGACTGAGCTCCCAGGGCAGCGTGAGGTTTAACAGGAATCTGCCAGTTTTGAAACTTCTTAAGAAAGGCTGGTGATTGAGAAAGAGGTCAGGACTATAAAAACTCACAGCAAAGTTTCAAGGAAATCCAGCCATTTGTTTTTGAGATGCCTCATCAGCTGAAATTAAAACCTGATAGTAGGATGAGATGCCAAAATTAAGGGGAATTTCACATAAATCCAGAGTAAAAAGCCAAAATAAAAACATTTCATCTCGAATGGAAAGATTCTTCCGCATCAGTTTACAAGCAGCTTCACTTGCAGTTTAACCTGCCTGATTCTGCATCAAGGAGCTGCAGAACCAACAAAAACAAATGTGAGTTTTGACGTCTAATGCAGTTTGAGATATCGGAGATCATTGTGAGGTGACTCCTGCACTCGTTGCACGATTTGCACAAAGTCCAAAAGAATGAAATGTGGAGAAAAGATCCAATAAAGCCAAGATTTTAGCCAGTAGAGCATCATCAGGGTAAGTTTTCTCTAACTGCCTGTGACACGATTCTGTGGAAAACGAATCCTTTTTTATCTTTGTGGGAACAAATGGTCACAATGGTTGAATGGACATCAGCAGAAAATCAACTGTCAAGGCTTTTACTGAAAATAACTCGCACCTTTGATCCAATCTGCTTTCAGGTCAGTTCCTGTATGAGGAAGTGGGACTGGCGGAGCTTCCTGCGCAGGGGGGCACGAAACCGTCTCCGGTCCTGAAGGTGAAGGACCGCTCGGTGCCGGTGGTTCAGAAGAGCCGGCGGATCTACAGCGGGACGCAGAGCGTGGACTGCTGGTTCGCCAGAAACAACGCAGCCAAGCTGATAGACGGACAGTACGAGGACTATCTGATGTCGCACATGTTCGACACGGGGGACTGGCCGCACGGTTCAAACAGAGTGTGAGGTGACAGCCACGAACTGTAGTGCCGCATTTAATTATTTGACTTAACTCCTTTTATTTTGTATAATTCCATAATTATCACACTGCAATAGATCCAAACGGTTTCAAACTTGACATTTCAGTTCTCTTTACCCCCAGTTTTCTCTTTTGAATATATTTTTTTACTATTTCTAATAGAAATGTAATGTTTTTTATTATATGTGTTATTTTTTAAAATAATTTTTAAATTGTAAATAAATAAAACATTTAAACACACGTTTTGAGGTTGTGTTCAGAGACGTAAAAACCATATTTATAATTTAATTTTCCGTCCATGTCAGAGCGATGTGTGTGTTTTTCTCACACACCCAATATGTGTGTCAACACGTCTTAAACGTGGCGACCCTGAGCTGAAGATCACACCTGGTTACCACAGACACCAACCCCAGCAACTAACCCCCATGTCCCAGCGCCAATGACTGACTACATGTCCACTTAACAGGCATAACACACAACTACACACAAACACACAGCTCCATAGTCCCCCCCCCCCTCCCACTCCCCCTGTCATCAGCTGGAGGTCACAGGGCTGCCGGCCCCGCCCACACAGGTGTGCTCTGGCCAGGTCCCGCTCGGGTTGTCTGTCATCGCGCTGCGCCGCCCCCGGCCGCCGCAGGAATTCAAACACCAAACAGCGGGTTCATGTGTCAATCATCTTTATTCATAGCACAGATTCAAGAGATACATTCGGTAAAAGAAGCACCGTGGCAGTTTACGGCCCGTCGATGACACTGATGACAGATGTGCCATTTAATCCATGTTTGTCATTTCATTCATAAAAAAAAAAATATATATATATATATATACACAAGCTACATTGGATTACAAAATAAAACATTACAGACGGAATCTGTCAAACCATCAGGCTTTTAAACCATAAATGTAAACAGGTAAATTGAAATGTTTTGGTGATAAATTGCTGAATATATAAAAAAGGAACATACATCAATCACCTACTTCAATTCATTCGGAACTCAAAACTGTAGTTTGGCGATGGATCTGAAAAATTCTCCCGTTTACATTGCACACTAAAAACCTTATATTCCACTGTTGTCACCACAGATCAGACCACAATATATAAAGTCAAATACATATAAAATATAAACAGAATAAATAAATGTGCCATAACTTGCAAACAGCTGCTGCATCTTCCCACAGAGAGTGTTACTACAAAGGAGTATTAGGACCATTATTAAAGGGGGAAAATGAGATTTGAGAGGAGAGTTTGACAAAAAAGTCAAAATGTTATGAGAATAATTGTTGTTCTAATATTGACAAAATAAAACTATGTAAAAAAAGTCTTAAATTTATGAAAAAAAAAGAATAAAGTCATAACATTTTGAGAAAAAGGATGTTTTATTTTGAAAATATTACCACCAAAATGGCCATTCTTACCAGATAAAGTAATTTTAAAAAGGAACAGTTTCCCATTTTTGGAAAATATGTTTATTCCTTTTTGCTGAGAGTTAGATGAGGAGATTGACAAGACTCTCGCATCTCAATGTGAAGCTACAGCCAGGAGACAGTTAGCTTAGCTTAGCATAAAGACTGAAAACGGGGGGGGAACAGCTAGCTGGCCCCTGTGAAACCACAATGTGCCCTTTTTACACTTTGATTTTTGTTCATATTAAACAAACAGGATATAATGTGTTAAAGATTTATGCTACAGCTATGCTCAAAGCTTAAAGCCTTTATGCTAAGCTAAGCTAACCATCTGGCTCAAGCTACACGTGTCTGACATGAGACGTATCGATGTTCTCATCTAAATCTGGGCAAGAAAGAAGCTAAAATGAGAATCAAGCTCATAAAAACCGACCTTTTCCCATATAATATTGCTTTATTTTTATTTTTTCTCAACATTAGAACTTTTTCCTCATAAAATTACAACTTTAATATAATTTTACATCGGTCCTAATATCCTGTTGTATATTCCTAATATAAAAATCACTTTTCAGCCATTGCGTGAAACAATGTTCCACCCACATATCATCATCTTTAAAAGCAGCCAGTTGCAAAGGAATAAAAACTTTTCCATGTAACCACATTATCAACATGTTTTGGTCCGTCCAAGGAATCAACATCTTCACTGAGAGTAAGCAGCCAGAGCGAGAACACGCAGGAATGATTATAATTACACCTTAATTAAAAAGGTGGATTTGAGGTGATTATATAAGACGGAGTAAAATTTTAGAGCATTTATATAGATATACTTCACTGGTTTGCTCCTCTTTGGAATATGATACGTGATAAATGAGTCTCTTTAGAGCAACATCGTTCCCAAAAGTCCCCCAGTGAGATTTATTTCAGTCTCCGTCACTGCCACCCGTACGTCTCACCCCGCGGGTGCTGCGCTCCTCTGTAATCTCCCTCTCCGCACACCTTCAGTTGTGGTTACTCTGATGTCGGAGGCAGCGAGGTGAGAGGACAAAGAGCTTCTAATTTCCCAAAATGCTATTTGATTTTTTTAACATGCACACAATAACTATTCACACCTTCAGTGCAGAAGAAGGCAGCTAAGGCTGTAGTGTTCACATTCACAGGTTATATGACCTTTAATTGTGCTTGCAAAGACGCGGATATTTAGACCTTTAAATCTGAGGAGATGAGGATGCAAGTTTTTTTTTTTGTTTAGTTTGTTTTTGTCCATATTCAGGCTCTTAAGAGTGGACGAGTAGGAGGTCACGTCACCTGGCTTTACACCACCACCCAGCTGGGTCTCACTGGTCCCCCTGAGTAATGCACATGGGGGACTGGCTCCTCATCGCCGGGCTCCTCTTCCCCCTCCGAAGCCTCGTCCGTGTCCGTCTCCACCGTCAGCAGGACCTGAGAGAGGAGCACAGGCCGTGAGCTTAAAGACAAAGTACAGATGAGTGCTTCTCAGCTGTTTTGTGTGTTTTGGATTTTGCATCCAAGAGAAAAAGAAAAAAGCTGGGGTTCTGCATTCCCGGCCTAAAGTGGAAAATATCCCCGTTTATCCGCCGCGGTGGAGACGCTCTCCGGCAGCAGCAGGGATTCAAATACCACAAGGAGCAAAAGTCCACAGCTATAAGAAATTTACAGCATTATAAACTTCCATGTGTTGCACTATGTTAGCACATGACATGTGGAAAAGCTGATATAAAGGGCACTTTAAGGAGCCGTACAGATTCAGATATGGGGATAAAGACAGGGCTGGGAGCATCCGTTACCGCCCATCACAGTGTCTGGGGAAGCGCCATAGTAAATGTGACAATTAGCTGCTGCTAAAGCCGAAAACCTGAAGTGAATTTCTACGACAATTTAAAAGAAATTGTTTGAATAAAATTTCTAATAAACGCTCCAGAGCCAAGAATCTGATAATCTCCTCCATAATCTTGATGTTACAGGCATGTAACCGCAGCCACAACAACAAACAGCATTGTGGCTGCAGCTTCCACCCCCCCCACCCGCTCTCCTCCATCCTGCCCTCTAAAAGACCTCATCCAAGTCAATGCCCTCCTCTGTCCGTCGTCCTCCTCCACTCCACTCTGCTTTCCATAACATCAGCGCGTGGAAACGACTCCTAAATGTCACTTTTATTCCCAGGATGAAGGCTTGATTTATGGCCCGCCTGGCAGATGACCAGGGAGAGGCAGAAGGGGGGAGGGAGGGATAAACACTCTCATCCCACTGGACACGAGGGTCACGCACCCAGATTACAGAACCCAGATAGTTTAGAGTCTCTTTGCCCATGTTTCTGGGAATCCAGTACAATAGAGATGGATTTCAATTATTACTAAAAGATTAATAAAGACTTTTTAATTTTTATTTTTCAAAGGAAAGTAGTTCCAGTAAAAATGGCAGTTTATTCTGTCTATCTGGAGTGAAAGAGCCAAAATATTGGCGTTTTTAACTTGTGCTCATAAACACATTATTACAACATTTTAAAAGCATGAAACAGAAAAAAAAAACTATTTTATTTTATTTTAATGTAATGCAGCTAATGGACACGGGACGGGTCTGACAAAGGATATAAAAAGAAAGGGGTTGTTTTTGTGATTTTGGTGAAAATATTGTAAATGTGTGCTTTAAGAAGAAAACTCTCTCAAGACATTAATATAAATAACAGAAAAATGAATTTTAAAGAATAACAAAATTTCACGCTAAGAACCAGATTTTCCCAACTCCACAATAACAAGGGGGGGGGGGCAGTCTGACTCAGTGTTTCTTGGACTGAACTCCTCTGGGTTTGTTCCTCATTAAATCAAGTGTAGAGAGAGAGAGAGAAGCTGTATTGGTGTGTGTGTGTGTGTGTGTGTGTGTGTGTGTGTGTGTGTGTGTGTGTGTGTCTGTCTCTTTACACTGTGTTCATCCCCCCAAAACAACAGGTGTGGTTGACACCCAGCGTGACTGTGCGGGTACATCAACCATCACCACCCATTTTCACACACATTAAAGTCTCCGCTCGCTCTCTTCACCAAATAGCAAAAGATAATAAACCGTCACATTATCGTTTGGGGCCCATTTGGTTTAACACACCGTGGACATTCCGGTGGGAACGGTGAACTTTTTTTCTCTAACATCAAAAAGTCACAGGCCGAGGAGTCGCTCTCGGAGCAGAGTGGTCGGTCTGATTTGAATGTTTTGGTTTATTTTGAGGAGTTTATTAGAAACTTTAAGACATTTTAATGTGACCTGCACTAAAGAATCAAAACATGGAAATAGAAAATCAGTAGAAAAAAAAGTTCTGTTAAATGTTCCAGACATGGACCTGGAGAGGATTATCCAACCCTCTTCTATGTTCTGAGAGATCTCATAACCCCCGTCATCTGCTTCGTCTTTCAACAGAGTATTGATCATAAGATTTTATTCCTCACTTTCAATCCATGTAAACACTTTTGTTTACGCTTAGTCACATTAAAATCAAAGATAATTTGAAGTAAACATGTAAAAAAATGCTTCTGTTAATTTTAATTTTTGATGCATTTCAATATAATTTAAGATT